TAGGGATCCGAGGGCCCCGGCAGCTATGGGTGACAAGAAGTACCGTGGTCCGGAGGAGAGGATTCAGTCCCTCCTGCATCGTATTTTTCAGACCACCAATCCCAAGGAGGGCCTGTCGAGGATCAGGGCGGCTGAGCAGTTGTCAGAAGTCGTTCGCCAACTGGCGACGCTCTTGTAGGGCTGAGGACGCTCATTGGTCTGCTCTAGTTTTAACACTTTTGTTTTTATGACAGCACCCAAGTAATCTGATGCAGTTAATTTGACAGTACCCAGTTGTACACGGGCATCTGATATGGGCTGATGCAGCCAGTTTCTAATTAAAATGTTAATTGCTAAAATGACTTGTGCCTTGATTTGCGGGAGAGGTATAGTGAGTACCTGGTGACTCAGTCGAGTTCTTCCAAGCGGATGGTTTTGCAAAGGACAACCGAAGCAGTCGGTTGGAAGTGAAGATGAAGGACTCACTTGGGATGGACTCGTCCTCACTCCCTTCTCAGAGCAGCCGCTTCTGCTAAACTAATTATTACCAACCATCTCAATGCATTCTGACATGAAATATCGAGAAAGGTAGCCAAATTTTGCTATCGTACCTCAAATCTGTGAGTAGTCGAGATTCAACTGCAAAGGGATAATTTATGAATTGACATTTCTTCACTATTCGAACTAAAGGCCTGGGAGTATTCTGATTGGTTATTTTCCAAAATCATCCGGCAGGGGAACGTATTTTAGACTAATTTAGCAATACTAAAAAAACTGCCCTATCTCAATTAAACAAAAGTACCCCTTGTACATAGCTAAAGCTTAATAATGACAGCAACGGCCTAAACCACAATTTTTTGAAGTACGGCATAATTACTGCAAGCTGATTAAACCTCAACCCACCTACATGACATGGAAAGACTGTCACGATAGAAAGACTTCGGACTTCGAGAGAGGTAGGTATTTTTGGCAAATTGATCCTGTTATTGAAAGGTTTGGGTAAGAAGTTCCAGGCTACGCTTATGGTTAGTGTTATGGTTAGGATACGAGAATATGAATCCGGCTTGCAATTTGGCGCGAGGCCATCTGTATGACGGAAGGGGTGTGTGTTCTATTCCCGCGTCGTGATTTAAGACGTATATATTAGATAGCCTAGTCCAGGGGTCGGCAACCCATGGCTCGCGAGCCATATATGGCTCTTTTG